TCTGGATGTTAGAGCACACAAATCTTCAGTCTGTTGCCAAAAATATTCTTGTTCATCCACACCACCTTCCAGGAGCCTTGAGAATCATCTGAAGCTTCCTTGCTTTCCAACAGCTACATGTCAGATGCAAGCTGACAGAGCCTAGGTTTCCTCTACAGGGGGAAGCTATTGTGATATTATTCTAATACTCCTGTTACTCAACAGAAAATACTTGCATTCCTCAAATTCAAGATATTATATTTTGACTTCTAAGTGATTTTTCTTTTTTCAATCTAAAGAAACACAAAAATTATCTGAATTAAAATATCCTTATTCTCTCTTGCAAAAAATTATGTCCACATTTTGGGAAGCCAGATTTAAAGAGCAGAAATAGTCATGCACTTGCCAGGAAATGCCAGTTACAGCAGGTCATATACTAATAATTAATTTCTATTTCCTCCTATAAATACTGAAGCCTGTTTCAGCCACACAATTTCTAGCACATTGCTCATGTTGTTTCCTGTGTCACATTCACAATTAGTGTTATCCACGTATTGTTACCAAGGCTTTATAGCCTCTCAAATGGCTTTTTCCTTTATGAAGGAAACTTCTTGAAGATGGTATCACAGACATTCCCAAGCAAAGTTTCAACTGTAAATACCAGTCTTCCCATAAACGTACCAAGAGAAGCCCAACAGTGAAACTAGTTTTCTGTTCATCTCTGTAGTACCCTGTGGCACAAACACAAATTTGAAGCTCATTTCTACAATGGAATCTGTTAAAAATTCTTGAAATGCTTAGATTCATTTATTAATCTAGAAGAATAAAAATGGGTGTTTACAATAAACATTTTACCATCTAAAATTTTCTAACAGCTTGAGTAGTTCTGAATGTGGCAGTTCATGCACTAAAATGAGATGATGAAAGCGTAGTATCTGTCAATTCATGCTTTGAACAGTTACAAAGCCATTCAAGTCATTCTAACTATACATTACCTTTTCACTTGAAAGCTGAATCTCCCTCAAACAGGCAAATCTAAAACCATATTGAAAACCGAGCTACTACCAGCTGCTAAACCAAACACCCTCCACCCCCAGAGATGTAAGAGTCTGTATACATCAGTGAGTCGGAGGTTCAAGCACCTCTGCTGCAGTGCTCACACAGCCTTGGTGGGGGCAGCCCTGATGCAGGGGAAGGGGCTGAGCACCTCTCCAGAGGCAAGAAGTAGAGGCTCACGCAGGAGTTGCCTCAGCCTCATTAGCTGGTGATCTTTTCTTAACTTCCCAAGGGAGCATTTGGCTCCTAGCCCCAGCTACAGACCTCTCAGGCACACGTTCCCACCCCACCCCAGCATGGGTAGTTCTTCACTCCCACTCCTTCCTGCAGTGAACCTCATACGGGACATACTCATAACACTTTGGACATGGACAGACCTATAAAACTAGACCCATAATAATTTCTTTTCCCCCTTCCTGAACTAGATGCCTGAACTGGCTTCCCAAAGAAGCCTGTGCATACACAAGGATAAGGGAAGAGAGGGCAGAGCTGCAGGCATCCCCAGCCTGACTTATCACAGACATGCTAACCATGTATTTAAAGCCTCAGGGAACACATCTGTTACTGAAGGGACAAGAAATAAATTCAAAATTATTAAGCAAAATGAATACTTGTGGAAGTTAAAAGATCAACTCAAACGCAGTGGTGCAACTTTCAGAGCTCAATGCAGTTAGAGGTTAACAGAGAACACTTGGCACTTCATGCGCTTATTGTAACTGGCCAATTTCATCATTTCCTCTGTACTGTCACTTTTCCTTTCTTGCTTGAATTTAAAAAACAGGAAAATAGTTATGAAGTCACAGGAATTACCAAGGGACCAGGGGAAGAGCAACAGTCTAGAAAGACTAACCTTGCTTTTGTGATTAGCCTGCAGTTTTACACGTGTTTCTATCACTGCCAGCACACACAGAGCTGTCCAACAATGGAAAAACTTGGTGTTCTCATCCGCCACACTGTTCATTGCCATCAAGCATCTTGGATGCCAAGAGGGTTTCCATCTAGCATTAACCCAGGGCAACAACAGCTCCTCTGAGGCAGAAGTCAGGTTTTTACTATTTTTTCAGAAGAGTCTTGGTGAAGGTAGCTGAGCAGAGAAACCCACCCCCTCCCCAAAGAAAGACTTGACAGTTCACGTGTGAAGGTTTTATCAGAGGCAGGTGTTACAACTGACAGCTCCAAGGCAACCCTAACAACAAACAGGTTTGAGTTCAGGCAGTGTTTTGTGAGAGATTCCTGCTCAGCTAGAAACAGCACAGCAGCATTGCTCAATCCCATTTAACCATTTGTCAGTAGCCTCTCAACTTCACTCCAGATGGGCTGGCTGCATTTTTGAGAGAAGTCATTGCCAGCCAGCCCTGATTTCATTCACAGCTATATTCTGCTTTGAATCAGGTCATAAGAAGCAACTTGAAACTTTTATGCAGAAATGGATTAGGAACTCTTGGGAAAAAAAACAAACACAAAAGTAAACTGAACACATCTAACAGCTGAATCACCTTCCAGGAACTTCAGCTTTTGAGGGAAAGCAGGAGAGGCCAGGGCAGATTTTGCCAAGAGGCTTGGGCTGGGCTGCCCAGCCTCAAAGTGCCCCAATCGTGCACTCCAGCTCTTTCTCCATTTGGCCAGTCCAGTCCTTGACCCCACCTCACCCTTGCACCAACTCTGACCACGTGCTAGGACAGTCCACATCACAACCTGGCAAAGAAATGCTTTCTTTGGCTGATTTAGCTTTCTGCAAACTGAACTGGCCTTCTGTAGGGACAGACCAGCACCAGAGAAGTCAAGAGCAGGTCCTTCCTCTGGTTCCAGAGCTGTTTCTTAGGCTTACACTGCATTGTGTCACTTCACTTCCTCCCACTTGCTTTAGTGGGAAGAAAGGAAGCACAGCTTTGTTCCTCAAGTAACCAGCTAAGCATGATTTTTATTTTTTTTTTAAAACCAGAAAAGCTGAAGCTACTTAGGCTGGCTCTGCAATAGTTAACCTATGAGACCCTGCCTCATGAGTTCAAACCTAACTTCCAGTTTCTTCCTGAGTTCATCTGATGTAGCTTTCAAACTCTTTAAAGATGTATCAAAGAGATACTTCAGAAAAATAATCACATGGCCAGCTGAGATTAAGTTAGCTGTACCCGACTCCACATCTCACTCTAAAGGAAAAAGCCCAAACCACAACAAAACCAAAACAACTCTTCACAGTGTTCCTAAAACACAGAAATCCTTCAGGATGTTTCCCCCAGCTAACTAACAGATTCTGAGTATTCCTTACACCACCATGGCATGAGTCCTTCTCATCCCTATAGTATGTACACAAGAATAAAACAGTGACTCTTCAGCAAGTATTGTCTTATCCTGGGAAAGGGGAGAGCAACCTCAACACCAATAACTGGTATATGTCATATTAATTTCATGTGCTCAGAGTTAACTGTCCAAGTTAATTAATTTCATACAATTTGACAGAAATAATTTTTCTTTCCATCTGCAAAAGACTAACAAAGAGGAATAAGGAGCACATTTACTAGTCTCCTCCATGCAGTCAGTTCTGTCTTCCCTCCATCTTCAACACCACATTTTCTTTAATTAAAAGCCACATTATTCTTTTTAAAAAATAAATCATATTTAGGCTAAGCAACCTGTAAAATAGCCTGGAAGAAGCAAATTTGTATGATAGGTTTCTTCTCACTAAACATAACATGTATAAAGTATTTGTTAACTTTAAAATGTTGCAATACAGAATATTTGAGAGAAGAAACTAGGCCAAGACATTTAATTGTAAAAGTTACAAAAAAAATCAGTGTGCTTATTATACAGTAATTAGAAGATTGCACAGAAGTTTAGCAGTGACAATTTCACATATAAATTTCACAATATCGTGTTAGATGACAGGCATCCAAAAATCGTGTATCAAATTGCTTTGAAGATCTTAAACTAGCTCCTTAGCAGAGAGAGGTGTTCCAACCAAGAGTTCTAATAAAGCAGCCAAACCAATCCCAGAAAACTGGCTAAGAGCCACTGCTTTTAGAGTTGAACCAGACTTGGAGTTAAATGCAGCACTGTTAGATTAAATGAAAGCAAGCGGATATTATCCCACAAGAAGAGAATGTTATGTTTCTGGCAGCATACTAAGACAACGCAGTGCTCTTTTGTATACCAGACTGAAAAAATCACTCCATTTCGGAACACTTGAAATGGAATTGACATCAATCTTTATAAATCTTATAAAACCATTAGTTATAAATAGAAACTGCTATTAAAGCCTGCATTAGCTGTGCAGTGTAATTTCATAATGTTATCATTTCCTGAACTTCAGATTTTTCTTTTCTCAAAAGTTTTCAAACCAGGCCAGCAGTTTCTAGTGTAGTATCAAAACGATTAGGTTATCATGTATTCCAAACATACTAGAACAAATAAAAATTAAACCACATCAGATTATTCCACCCTGTAATTCCAGGTGCATTTCTGTATCTTTTTAATGAAGTGTTGAAAATTTTAAGACACCACCAACAATGCAGGATTCAATAAACAAAACTGTAAAAACTCAAACCTTATTCTGAGTACCTCAAAAACATTATCTACCCCTTATATACTCTTCCATCCAATGTCAGATAACAAACCAAGGTCATGCAGATTATATGTTAAAACTAATCTTTCCTACAAGGGCAGAACTTGAAGTACATACTTGGAAAGTATGTACTTGGAAAGTACATACTTGGAAAGTCCCGAAGGACTCTGACTACAAACTTCTCTTTTAAAATGCGTGTGAAGCTGCAAAGAGGCCATAAAGCCCAGTGTCAGGGTTTTCATTTTCTTCTATGCAACTGATGCCAGGAGCATCACCTCCAGAAGAAAACAGAAACCACTGGAATGGAAGCACAGATTTTTGTATTTGTATATTAATATTTTCTGAAGCCCTTGTTGGGAAGAGTTCAAACAATTAAAGCCAAAATTGATGAGTTTTGAGTCTTTACCTCAGACTGCAGGTGCTGGATGACAATAGTTAATGCTTCAAACTTCTGGTTACTGGATGCCAGGAATTTTTTCAGCTGCAGGATGATTCCACTTTGGGTTTCACATTTTGTTTTGTACTGCGTCAACTCGGCTGCTTTTGTGCCAGGTGAACGTGCATCTGTGGAGCCTTGAGTCTGTATGCACGAACTCCTGGGACTCCGCTGCTTGCCCTTGTCAACTAAAACAACAACAATGACTAATTAATATGCATTTCATGTTGAAATCTCACCAAAACTTAAAAGGACAGGTGCAAAAGAAAGTAGTTATAAATTCTTACAAACACTTTCTAAAACACTAACTAGGAGAAAGGGTTATTTCAGTAGCACTGCAGAGCAGGCACTATCATCTGCTAGGTTAATTTCTAACACCATAACCTTAGATACACTGTTTTGCACTTTTTCTTCACCTTCATGTACTCTGTGGTGTACTTTTCAACATAGCTCTTTTCACTGTGCTTTGAATAGATATTTTTAGAAAATGCAAGATCTCTGTCATCCTACCTATCCAGTAACTTACTTCTAACGTAAGAATTGTCCACTTTCATTTGCAACATGGATTTCATATTTCCTGCACTTTAAAATACTGCTGAATACAAACCCATTTTCTTTATATTTACTTTGTTATTTTTCTTCCTTTTAAAATTTTATTTGTAAAAACTCCCCTCTCTGCAGTTCACGTTTGAGCTTATTAACTGGAGGTCTTTCAGCATTTCTTAGTGCCAGCCATTTCAGTCACAAGGATAAGACTTTAAAAAGGCTCTAAAATGTAATATATTTCAATAGATATTCACAGTCCAGAAATTACATTGATGATTTAATATTCATAATTATGTGGCAACCTCGATCCTTTTCGCAGTACACAATCATCTGATGTCAGAGGAAGCCACATTACATAATCCAGCACTTGACTCGTAAACACTGTGTAGGTTATAGGTTTCTCTGCTGCCTTCAGACTGGAAAGGGAGTACAGTACTGCTGTGCAGATGGGGCCAGTCTTCCCCATTTGATCACAGAGGGAATGAACAAACACTTTTGAAATAAAAGGGTGATGCAATAGATAAATATCCCTTGGCAATTTAATGAAGACATCTAAGCAGATTACTTTGTACAGTTTCAACTTAACAAGATTTCTTCACGATAAAGTGAAAAAACCTGAGAGGTGAGATCTGGAGAAAAAGAAATAGGAACATGCAGAAAAACAGGGGACAAACTAACCAACTAGAAGCAGTCCTTTCTGCAGCCCAGTCACCTGTTTTGAAGGCTGTCAAGTGACTCTAGAATAGTCCCAGCAGTGTAAGGTTCAATCTCACAACTGGAGACAGCATTAATGACAAAAGCTTTGATTCTCAGTTAATGTGAGTCTGATAGTATTGACAATACATCAGTCTTCCATGGCCTCCACTTGTTTTCAAAGCCTTTGAAAACAAGATTCCCGTTCAAAATACTAACATCCTCTGTGCCTTTCTTACTGAGCTGGGTACAAAATGCTTCCTCAGTCTGTGAGTTCTCCAAATAAATCCTCTCTGGACAAGATTTTCTGCTAGTCAGAGAATTGACAGTATTTTGCTTTATCATGTTCAAATGCCCTTGGTATTCTTGGAGACTTCCCTACACTTTTGCTCAGAAATGCAGACTGTTTAAGGGTATATTTTCAGTTAGAAACATATGATCTTGCAATTTAATAGTAGAGCTGTTAAAAGGTGCATCAACATAACCCAAATCAAAATAGAAGTTTGTATGACATGACCACTTCTTTTCTCATGGTTCAGACATAACAATGTCCTTTGAGTAGACATCTTTACGTAAATGACAGCTCACATTTGAGAGCAACCATATCAAATTTCCAGCAATCTTATGGACAGTATTGCATGTAGGAAAATACTGGTTACCTTCTGAAGCTCCTTGAAAAATCACAAGAGACAACAATCAAGGAAAGGGGGAGGGGGGAAGGAGCAGAGACTAAACATGTACAGTCAGCTTTCCCTTTCCTACCAGCTTACATGCTCCTACTCTTATATATTCCATCTCCCTTCCTGCATGCTCCACTTATGATAGAGAATCAGAGCATTCATCCTGATTTAAGAGTAGTAGGTAAATTCACTGATACAGACGCTAATGTCGTAATTTACTTAAATATTTTAAATGAGTTTTACATCAGTTTTTAGGACCCTGACAGAGCTGCATTAAAGCTGAACAAACGTTTGCAGATAATTTTTACTCTGGGAAAAAATTACATCACCCAGTTACTTAATGAAGGTATTTCATTTAAATACAGTGATATACCAGCTAACCACAAATGACAAAAGACTCCAGATATCCCCTGGTTCCAGAGTTCAGCCAGCCTTTATCACTCTGTCACTTTCATACCACTGCTTTTATCATGCTGCCCAAACCAACAAGTATTTTCCTAGAAGCTCATTCAAGCATCCAAGCAAGTCAGCCCTTGATACTATACTAAAAAAAAGCTGAACAAAGAAACATGCATGAAGTGAAATTCAGTGACATTCCTGTTGGCAATTTTATCATAGATGCGTGCTACACACAGCCACTTCAAATGCTGAAATGCATAAACCCCCTGTAGCATGAACTGCCTTTACAGATTAACACCACTGACACTCCAATGCTTATTTATGGCCTGCATACCTCTGGGCAATGACAGATCGTTTCCAGATTTGTGTAGAAGGCATGCTGTGGTGTCAAAACAAAAGCCATGCTTTCATCAAAACAAAAGCATCACGAGTCTGATTATTTATACCACCACATCAACGACACAGTCTATATTAAAGACAGTATTGGTTACCAGCTCAAGTCCTTCTCACTTTGGCCTGTTTACCTGCCACTTTTATAAAGTCAGACTTGTAAAACAGAACAAATTCCATCCATAGATTGGGTTCTGGACTCCTCTCCAACAAGCTCAAAACCACTGTACCCAATCTAGTTGAAAAGCTCCATTTCTGAAGACTACAAATCAGATTTGCAAGTACTGCATACAGCACAGTAACTGAACAGAATTGCCATCTAAGATTCTACCCTTCTTCATACCAGGAAAAAAGAAAAAATTTAAAAGTGACTTTGCAAAGACTAAGCCTTTTGATCACTGAGACATTCACAGAAGATTTGATTTTGGAGCTTGGAAAAGGTCCACAAACCCTCTCACTCCCTCTACAGTCACTATATGGATGGCACAGCAGCCAAGTCTAATTCACTGGGGAGAGTATTAAACCCATTCCAAGCTTCTCCATAAAGTAAACTGTTTCCCATACACAGCTTCTGTGGTTAATAGCCATACAACGGCAAGAAATACACAACTGTCAGTACACAGGGTGTGTTCCATAAAGTTACATTTAAGTGCTGGGGTTCTGTCCTGTACTCGACATAGTATTTATCTGGCTGGCTGCCTCAGGTACCGCTGGTTTCCTGAGCCTCCCTACCTTGGGCACTGTTGCTGGACTACCCGATGAAGAACCTATCACCTGCTTTTTTTGGTTTGCAGAACCAAATCAAAGCCTTCCTTTGCTTATCATGTACTAAGAAAGTCTGTGTACTAGATGCCTACACTAACTAGAAATCATTTTAAGCAAGACATTCTATTTCTAAAAAGAATTACATTTCTTAAAAGCATTCCAAAAAGCCTAAACAAGCTTCTGGACAAGCACAAGTGGAAACAACCTCACTTCTCTTTCCACGCTTGTAGTCATAATTGCCTTACCCCCAAGCACCTTCTTTTCACATTCCTCATCCAAACTGTTAGCTTCCACAGGATTTTCAAAACCCATGTGCGTCTGGTGTAAGCATTTTTCAAAGAAAAATCCTTGCTCAACATTTTCTCTTGTGGGAAGATGCAGGCTGGTAAAAACTTTCTGCCTCTCCTCCATTTTCTGGAAAGCCTTGTCTACACACGTTAAATTGGTGCTCACTTCTTTGATCAGTAAGACCAGATCAGCCTGAGTATTTAATCGAGCTTCCATTTCCTCTCTTACTCGTTGAATTTCTTCAAGCACAGTTCTTATATCCAAGTGACTGGACTTCATCTCTGCTTTGAGATCTTCTTTCACCTGTTGCTGGCTCCTTTGCAATGCTAACACTGTTCTGATTTCCTTCTGAGATGTTTCCACGTCGTGCTTTAACTCCTTCTGCCCAGCCTGCATGGCCTCCTGGCTAGCTTTCACTTCTGCCAACAGAGCAGCAATGCACTCCATCCCGATCCCACGGGAGTCACAGGACCTCTTCCAATGTCACAGCTTCCAAGTGGTCAGGGACATTTGTGAGTTGTTAGCTGACTTCTCCTGATATCAAGAGAGCTAGCACGGTATCCTACCTCAATCTACAGCATGCTGCCATGAAGGTATTAGGTAAAAAGTCTCATACAATTGAGCCAAAAACACTAAATAAAAGCCTTCAACAAGCACGGCTGTAGTCAGAGCTCCTTCTCAGGACTCAGCCAGAGCACTAATCAGTTTAATTGGCAGATTATGCCACACCTGAATTTTTTAAAATCTTTTGCTGACATCACTGTGTGTGGGACGTCACCCCGAAAGCCACTCCCAAAAGCCATTTCATCTGTGCATCAATCAAAGTATGCCTGGGATCAGTAACCAGGTTTGTTGCAATGCAGCCAAACACTCTGCAAGAACACACTGGCCCTTCCTTTCCAACACAAAGGCTCAAAGAGAGCCCGAATTGCCTGCAGGAGCTGAAAGCCAAACAGTTCAACAGTACATACTTATTTCAATTATATATTCAACAAGGTGATTATGCACCTGTCCTTCTGCTAATGTTTGCAGTCAGTGTTCAGGAGTATATCTGTGGGCACGTCTGACGTTGCTCCACTCCCACTGAGTGGCCTGCTTATTCGCACAGCGAGCAATACTCTTTTAGCAATCTTTGGAAGAACTCAGATCCTGCGGAAGCCTTCTAGTTCAAAAACAATAAAGAGTTACCAGAGCAATATGGGAAAACTGACTAAGGAGATATTTTTAGCAGGCTAAGGAGGCCAAGCCTTTTAGCTACCAGGTCTGAGTGTTAACTCTTCTCTGTAAAAGCTAAGACTTTCTACTTTTAAGCACAGAACTCTTAATAGGTCTAGGCTCCATGTAAAAACAGGCAGATTAGTACACCGGGCTGTTGGCTTTTTTGTTACACAGCCATTTAATTACCCACTTACTGGATTGAGTTCGGA